TGATCCTTGAAACTTTTTTTTTTTTTGATCAGTCATGGGGCTTGAACTCAGGGCTGTCCCTGAGCCTATGCACTCAAGGCTAGCGCTCTACCACATTGAGCCACAGCTACTTCTGTTTTTCTGCTGGTTAATTGGACTCATGGATTTTATTTTTATTTATTTTTTTCGGTCGTGGGGCTTGAACTCTGGGCTTGGGAGCTGTCCCTCAGCTCTTCAGCTCAAGGCCAGCGCTTTACCGCTTGAGTCACAGCACCACTTCTGGTTTTCTAGTGGTTTATTGGAGATAAGAGTCTCACGGACTTTCCTGCCCTGGCTGGCTTTGAACCGTGATCCTCAGATCGCAGCCTCCTAAGTAGCTAGGATTATAGGCATGAGCCACCGGCGCCCAGCTTGACTAATGGATTTTAAAGTCCATGGATTCACTGGGCTCCAGTGGCTCATGCCTGTAATCCCAGCAACTCAGGAGGCTGAGATCTGAGGATCACCATTCAAAGCCAGCCCAGGCAGGAAAGTCCATTAGACTCTTATCTCCAATAAACCACTAGAAAACCGGAAGTGGCACTGTGGCTCAAGTGGTAGAGCACTCACCTTGAGCTGAAGAGCTGAGGGATAGCACCCAAGCCCAGAGTTCAAGTCTCAGGACCAACCAAAAAAAAAAAAAAAAAAGTCCATGAACTCATGGACTTTCCTGCCCTGGCTGGTTTTGAACCATGATCCTCAGATCTCAGCTTCCTAAGCAGCTAAGATTACAGGTAAGAGCTACTGGAGCCTGGCCCTTGAAACATTTTATAGGTAAAACAGGTTCAGGGATATTATATAACTTGCTGAAGATCACAGAGAATGGCAGAATTCTCTACCTGAATCCAGATGTTTTTTTCTCCTTCCTCTTCTAAGGAACCATTCTGGTGGGCCTAAGGAGGACTTGGCCTCTTACCTTGGCACTGTACTGGTTGAGCTCTCCACTCTCATGGCCAGCAATGATGCACTCCCCCAGGGGGCCCCAAACAGCACTGGTGATCTTGGAGTCATTGCAAGGGATCTTCATGTAGGGTTCATTGTTGTCTGCATAGGGCAGCAGGTATCAGACATCAGGCTCTGAAGCTACTTCCTTCACCACAACCCTAGCCCTGTTCCTGGAGCTAGTGCTCACCAATCTGGCTCGGATCCCGCAGGTCAAAAAAGCTCACAAAGCACTGGTAGCCCATCTGCTTGTCTGTGGAGAACATGATGATATTGCCCCCAAAGTCAAATCCACAGGTCCGAACAGCTGAATTGGTCTTGAGCAGGGCCAGCTGCTTTCCTGGAGACAGGCAGAGTGTGGGTTATACCCTGTCCATTGTTACCACAGGGGGAAACACTGCACCTATCTATTATCACCTGTCTCTTCTGGCCACCACTTTCTTCCTCCTGGCTATACTTTGAGTTGTCTTTCCATTTCTTCCCTACAGTCTCTCCTCATGTATGCTGCTGATGTTGCACTGCTTACAGTAGACTGCAGCGGCTTTCCCCACAGACCTCGTTCCTCCTCAGTAAGGACCTGGTCTGATCTCTCTGTGGTACCTGGCCCAGCAAACATTTACTAAACAGAGTTGCTAAATAAACTCCACTATCTTCACGGTCAGCTCTTATATGCCTAGACTCCATTAAAATTAACCAGACTACCACTGTCCCCAGCATGCCAAGTCCTACAGAACAAATCCAACTCCTGTGTTTGGCATTCAAGGCTGGTTCTGGCTTAGCCTGCCTTTCCAGTCTCATCTCCAGGCCAAGCACAGGCACTCCAACCAGATCAGATGACTTGGATGTGACATGTTCAGTGCTTTCTTTCCTTATTGTGCCAGTGATGACCTTTTTATTTTCCTTTAATCCCAACTCATAGGACACTTACTTTGGGAAACATTCCTGGGGTGCCCCTACCTTTGCTTCAGGTAGTCACATTTCCTGCTCTGGCCTTCCACAGAACTCTGCTTCCCTCCAACATAGCTTATTGCCTTACCATAACACTTTCCTCATCTACCTTCTTTAGGGCCTCTTATTCTCTAAACTATGAACCTGTTTTTTTTTGGTCTGGTCGTGGGGCCTGAACTCTGGGCCTGGGCGCTGTCCCTTAGCTCTTCAGTTCAAGGCTAGCGCTCTACCACTTGAGTCACAGTACCACTTCCGGCTTTTTTTCTTTTTGCTTACATGGTGCTGAGGAATTGAACCCAGGGCCTCAGGCATGCAAGGCAAGCGCTCTACCACTGAGCCACCTTCCCAGCCCATTATGAACCATTTCTGTCTGTTTATACAGGTACACTGTAAGTAGTCAACTTTTTGCTGAAAAAATGGGTGACCCAGACTTACCTGTTTCACAGTCCCAGAGACGACAGCTGTTGTCAGCTGAGCCAGTGAGGACATGTTTGGTGTCCCCTACGAGGGTGTTAAGAAACATGACTAAGTCTTCCTGGGTCCTTGCCTTCTTGGGAACCTGACCAATCATTTCTCAGTTCATCTCCAAAGAGCTTTTCTTCCTCTTAGCTCCAAAGCATTCCAACCTTGCCATCCACAATTTGAACTTGTTCTGAATGTTACCCCAACAAAAATAGGAAGTATTGTTCTCTAGACCCCACTAAGCCCAAACCCCAACTCCAAGTTAACATCACCACTGCTGGCAGACCCCGGGGCACAGACTCAGAGCAAAAAGGATACAGTCAGCGTCCACACACCACACAGCTCCAGTATGGCCCATGTAGGTTCCCAGCCTCTCGCCATTCACAGAGTACCATACATTGACAATCTGGAGAAGTTAAATGACAGGATGGTTCACATCTCAGGAGAACAGTGGTTTCCTATTTTGCCCCAGGAACTCTCCACAGATTCTAGCCAGGCCAGCTACCATGTTCAGCTCAATCCTTGGTAAAGAGAACTGATAAAAAGTCTAACTCGGGCTGGGAAGGTGGCTCAATGGTAGAGTGCTTGCCTTGCATGCATGAGGCCCTGGGTTCAACTCCTCAGCACCACATAAGTAGAAAAAGCCAGAAGAGCTGAGGGATAGCACCCAGGCCCAGAGTGCAGGCCCCCCAACCGACCAAAAAAAAAAAAAGTCTAACTCTTGGATTTTCCTCCCTTCCAGAAGTAGTCAAGCAGCAGGCTAGTCAAGCTCATAAAATCAACCTCATTTGCCAGTCCTGCCCTTTCCTGGACTCAGAATCTTACAAAAGAATAAAAGGTCAAATTGAGCTCCAGGAAAGAAAAACAGTAGTTTTGGTGTCATGTCCAGGTGGGAGCAGTGATCAGCACTATTTCACTGTATGTCCTCAAATACAGTGTTTCTCTACTCTCAACTTCAGCTTCCCCATCTTTAAACTGGCCAGAACAAGCTGGATTTGGTAGTACAAGCCTATAATCATCACTCAGGATGCTAATGCAAAAGCAGCCACAGTTTCCAGCCAGCCTGAGCTGCCCAACCAGATATAATCTAAAAAATAAAAAGGCAAGACAATAATGCCTCTTCAGAGGTAGCTGTGAAGCTCCAATGAAATGGTGCAGAAGACAGCCGGGTGCTGGTGGCTCACGCCTACAATCCTAGCTACTTAGGAGACTGGGATCTGAGGATTGTGGTTCAAAGCCACAAGCTTTCCTAGGCAGTAAAGCCCATGAGACCCCTATCTCCAATAAACCACTCTGGAAATGCTGAAAGTGGCACTGTGGCTCAAGTAGTATAGTGCAAGACTTGAACAAAAGAAAAGTTCAAGGGCAGAGCCCAGCTCAGAGTTCAAGCCTCAGGACAGACCAAAAAAAA